TTTTTGATGGGTAGCAGATGTACTCAGGAGATAAATAAGATGGCCTCTTTTGACAGGAGACACTCAGCATACCATTTCTACTTGTTTAAATGTGAATAGAATCTTTATCTCCTTGTGATAGTTCTGCCCTCCACTCATATGTTTCTTTTTCAAAATATTTATTTATTTATTATGTATATATACAGTATTCTCAGTACTCTGCCTGCAGGCCAGAAGAAGGCACCAGACCTCATTACAGATGGTTGTGAGCCACCATGTGGTTGCTGGGAATTGAACTCAGGACCTTTGGAAAAGCAGGCAATGATCTTAACCGCTGAGCCATCTCTCCAGCCCCCCATATGTTTCTTAATATTTGTTATTTAAACATATCATGCTGGTCATGGTGGTGCACGCCTTTGATCCCAGCACATGGGGCAGGTGAGTGGAAGGTGGGCAGATCTCTGAGTTTGAGGCAAGCCTAGTCTATGTAGTAAGTTTCAAGTTTGCCAGAACTACACAGTGAGACCCAGCCTAAAAGAAAAATTAAGCTGAGTGGTGGCGGTGCACACTTTTAATCCCAGCACTCAGAAGGCAGAGGCAGGTGGATCTCTGAGTTCGAGGCCAGCCTGGTCTGGTCTACTGAACAAGTTCCAGGACAGCCAGGGCTATACAAAGAAACCCTGTTTTGAGGGGAGGGGGTGGAAGAAAGAAAAATAAAAAAAAACCACCAGATTCAATACCCCCAGTGAGCTTTTGATTCTATGCTATACTCTCCTTTCCGCTGCTGAGTCTTGTCTTTGTTCTCCGGGTGTCAGGTGTCCCTGGCTGGAACATCCACCCAGAAGTGTTTGGGGAAATCCCCTTCTAGCCTGCAGGCTGAGGTGAAGGCTTCAAGGTTCCCAGTTCCTCCCTTATCCTAGTGCCTCAGATATCAGGAAGGTAGGGGAGGCTGCAGTAGCAGGGGCCGTGTGATTGATCTATAAAAAGAATAGGTATGTATGCTAAGTGTGCCTTGCAAGCCTGAGGACCATAGTTTGAGCTCCAGAACTTCTGTGAAAAAGCTGGGTGTGGTGTTGGAGATGGCTCATCAGTGATAAACCAGGTTCAGGACGGCTCACAGAGAACTGTAATTCCAGTTCCAGGTAATCAGACGCCCTCTCCTGGCCATTTTGGGCTTTGCACTTCCATCCTTCCACTTCACATAATTAAAAACAACAACAACAAAAAAAAAACCCAGCAGGGTGTATGGTGGCGCACGCCTTTAATTCCAGCACTGGGGAGGCAGAGGTAGACTGATCTCTGAGTTCGAGGCCAGCCTGCTCTACAGAGTGAGTTCCCGGACAACCAGGGCTATAAAAGGAACACTGTCTCAAAAAAAAAAAAAAAAAAAGAAAGAAATGACGCACATATGTGATGCCAGTTTTGAGGAGACAGACAGGCGATTTCCTGTCTCTGAAAAGCAAGATGGATGGCATCTACAGATGACACCTGGCCCATGTGCAAGGCTTTGAGTTCTTCCGTCTAGCCCGGGCCATGTGTGCAACACAACACTCGCTGAACACAGGTTTTCTGAGAGTTCACTGAGTCCCCATTCTGGGCATGGGGAGCCAGATAGAGTCCTGGTTTCTGCTGGCAGATGTGTCCTATGCCACCCCAGGAACTGTCTAGAATGTTCTTGTTGTGTCTGGAAACAAGAGGTTTTCACCAGCTAAGCAGGCCATGGGCAGGGCTTATCAAGGAGTACACCTTGGAAGGTTCATGATGCAGCTGAGCCCAGATGAACTGACAAAGGGAGTAGGCACAAGCCGTGTGTGTGTGTAGGTGTCTGAGTGAAGAGTATTACAGGCTGAGCGAACAGCTAGTGAAGAGGGCCGAGGCAGGAGCATGTCCATGTGGCTGAGGGTTAGCTTGTAGGGTCAGAGAAGGTGTGTCTTAGTGAATAAATTGAGGCTGGGAATCATGCATATCTTGGAACAAAAGCATGGTTTGTCGCCTGGCTTCAACATACCTTAAAAAAAAAAACAACTATCTACTTACTAGATTGTGTGTTCATGCTTGTGCCAGGCATGCATGTGGAGGTTACAGAACAACCTGAGGAATTTGGTTCTCCCGTTCCATCATGTAGGTCCCAGGGATTGAACTCTGGTCGTCAGATTTGGTGGCAAGTGCCTTTACCCACTGAATACATCCATCTAGACTGATGGACCCCTTCCTGAGCACCCCCCTCTGTGCTGCATCTTTTGTTGGTATTAGACAGCATCTCTTGTAGTCCAGACTAGCCTGGGATTCACTATGCTGAGGGCTTTGAATTTGCGATTATTCCCCTGCCTCTGCCTCTTGTCACCACACCCAGTTTATGTGGTCCTCATGAATGCTAGGCCAGCACTCTGCCAACTGAGCTACATTCCCAGCCCTGTTTGTTTTCTGAGACAAGTTCTGGGTAGCCCAGGGTGGCCTTGAACTCATGACCACCCTGACTTACTCTTACCGTAGCTGGAGTTACAGGCACGTGCTGTCAGGCCGCAGAGGGGTGCGGGCGGGGTGGGTAGGGTTACTGTTGTCTTATGCTGATGAGGAAATGAGGTTCAGAGACAGCAGGTAGCATGCTCTGGGTCACACGGCTGGCAAACAGGGCCTTGATGCCCGTCCACTCTGGATCCCTCCTGACTCTGGGGAGATGACTGCGGGATGGGCAGAACAGGGGCTGGGGGGAGTGACTTCTGGGTATGTTGGGATGGGTATCTTAGTGGAGAGAGAACGGAGGGGACAACAGAGCAGCTCTGAGGCATGAAAACGTGGATAGGAGTGGCACGTCTAGCAGGATGTCTGAGAAGCATGGTGAGTGCTCAGGGGGAGGCCAGGCAGGGCTGGTGGGGAGCCTGGAGGCTAGCCTCAGAGACCTCTGAACCCGAGTGGGGATGAGGGTGGGGAAGCCCTAGAATGTCATCTGTTTTATCTGCCTGGCCTGCTTTGTGCAAGGCTTGGGAAGGGAGCTAGGCTCTGTTTGAAGTGGAATATGGGGCTCTTTAATTTTTATGATGTGCGTGTGTTCTATGAAGAAACTAAGGTGATTGATGACAAGCATGTGTGGTTCAGGGTCCCAGGCCCCACTCACATAGTCATTGCCTTCAATTCCAAGCTCTGTTCCAAACCCATCTTTTGTTCTCTAGAGCCCAGGACATTTGTGACACCTGCTTTTTTGGGATGAGGAACATTGGGGCTCAAGGAGAGGGTGTAGTATGCTTCGCCAGTCAGGAGACTAGGGTGACCCAAGCTGCTTCTCTACCAAGACAGGGCACAGCTGACGCATATTCTGTCCCCTCCCTGGGTCCAGGAGACAAGTGACTATGGCCTACCACAGCTTCCTGGTGGAGCCCATCAGCTGCCATGCCTGGAACAAGGACCGTACACGTGAGTGCTCACTTTTGCAAGGGTGGCCTCTTGAACTGGGATTAGTTGGGACGAGCTGGGGACAATGGGGTGACAGAATAGTGAAACAGCTTTGAGAGGTGGGGTGCAGTCAGAATCCACACCTTGGGCCTCCGTGCTTAAGGCAAGTGCTTGCTCCTGGAATGGGGTCAAGAACTGAAGAGCAAGCTGGGGGGGTGGGGGCAGGCAGGTAGAAAGGGAGATGTTGGCATATTGGGTGGACAGTGGTTTAACAGCCTGGGTCTCCTGGGACAGTCTGGAGGGTAGTGGAAAGAATTAGGATGAACAGCACAAAGGACAGGGTGTGGTGGTACACACCTGTCATCCCAAAACTTAAGAGGCTGAGGCAGGGGGGTTGTAAGTTTGAGGCCAGGCTGAGCTACATAGTGATACCTTTCTCCAAGCAACAAAATGGGCCAGTGGGATGGCTCCGCATTGCTTGCCAAGCCCGATCAGTTTGCTCTCCAGGACCCACATACTGGAGTGCTCTCAGTTGCCCTCTGACCTCCACTCACGTACTGTGCACACCCAGCCGTACACACATGCACGGCTGTGGGATGATGGATGAGCAGCTCCAGGGTCCTGAAATTGCTGTGGGGAAATTCAGGAGATGGGTCCAGGCATGGGGTGGCCCAGCAGGACATGAGGTAGGAAGGGTGGGCACCCATGCCACTGCCTCCCTAAAGTCATGCCTGTCTCCTACAGAGATCGCCATCTGCCCCAACAACCATGAGGTACACATCTATGAGAAGAGTGGTGCCAAGTGGAACAAGGTTCACGAGCTTAAGGAGCACAACGGGCAGGTGACAGGTGGGTGAGGACCCCCCTCTTGAGGAGGCAAAGGGACAGAGCAGGTCCAGGCAGAGCTGACTACTCACTCGCTCTATTAGTGGGAGTAGTCTGGGTTGCAGAGAAAACAACCCTCTTCAAACTGACTTAGGGACCATAAAGACGGCTCAGCTGATAAAGGGACTTACTTGAGTTCCATCCCCAGACCTCACAAGGAAGAGAACCAGTTCCTGCACGCTGTCCTCTGACCTCCACAGACTACCATATACAAACACAAATACATTTTTAAAATTAAAAGTCAAATTGGTGCCAGGCGATGGTGGCGCACGTCTTTAATCCCAGCACTTGAGAGGCTGGCGGATCTCTGAGTTCAAGGCCAAGCCTGGGCTACAGAGGGAGTTCTAGGACAGGCTCCTAAGCTACAGAGAAACCCTGTCTCGAAAAACCAAAACCAAACAAACAAAAAGTCAAATTGTCTTCAGTGGTAAAAAGATTGTAGACTTCCCAAGGGGCTAGATCCAGCAGCTCAGCATTACTAGGACCTATCTCTTGGCTTTATCTCCAGAATGTTTGGGATTATTTTGTGGAAATTGGTAGTCCCCTAATAAGCTTCAGTAGTCACCCCTAGAGTGTGTTAGGGGAGGGGGATGCTAGTGAGTGGAGATGTGGCTCAGCAGTCCAGCACTTGCATAGAATTCCCCGGTCAGGGGCAGGGGGCTAGAGGCATGTCTTGGTAGTAGCACACTCGTTAGTTGGAGCAAAGCACTAGGCACCATAGTTATACGGCTAGGCATGGCCACTGTAGCTTGGGTGGCTTTAGCTTGTGTCCTCTGACCCTGTCCTGCAGGTATCGACTGGGCCCCTGAGAGTAACCGCATTGTGACCTGTGGCACAGACCGCAATGCCTATGTGTGGACACTGAAGGGCCGCACATGGAAACCCACACTGGTCATCCTGCGGATCAACCGAGCTGCCCGCTGTGTGCGCTGGGCCCCCAATGAGAACAAGTTCGCGGTGGGCAGTGGCTCCCGTGTCATCTCCATCTGTTACTTTGAGCAGGAGAATGACTGGTGGGTGCTTTGTCGGGGCCAGAGGAGGCTGGGGGTGGGAGAGTCCAGGGTGGGGTAGGGGTGCAAGGTCAAAATGGCCCCAGAATGCAGCAATGAAACGCGAAGACTCTTGCTCCCATGACTCCAGGGAAATCTGTCCTGAGTCTCACTGGGGAGGCAGATGGTCTTTTACTGTGGTCCCACAGCTCTGACTTGACACAGAGCACACCAGTGCTACTTCGGGGGACACTCCAAGCCCTTTGCACACACTGCCACCCACTTTCAGGTGTGCCATACTTCAAGGGCCACTCACAAACACCAAGCCCAGGATGGTTTCAAGTTCAGTGTAGAGCATGGTGACCCTGAACTTGTGGTCCTCCTGCCTCTGCCTCCCTAGTCCTGGGATGACAGGCATGCATCACCATGCCTGATTTATGCAGGGACAGGAATGGAATGGAAGACTCCATGAATGCTGGACAAACACTCCACCATTTGAACTACATCTCCAGCCGTAGGGAATTAAAACCTAGGGTCTCCTGCATGCGAGATAAAACTCTGCCACCGAACTACATTGCAAGCCCTAGTTTTGGTGGAGACAGCATCTTGCTAGCTAAGGCTACCCTTGAATTCAATTCTCTAGTATTTGTGTGCACCAGATGCCTGTCCCAGCCAGTGTTGGAGGACAAGGACAGCTTTGAGTCTGGAAAACCAGAATTCAAATCCCACCCTAGCCACAGAACCATGCGATCTGCAGTTGGTGGTAGCAAGTTCTCACCTCAAAAGGAACCCAGTACATCACTGCCTGGAGTAGGCACTCAAGTGTTGATGCAGTAGTGCCCCCGGGACACTGCTGTCCATGTCACCCACCTGCTTGCCTTTCTCACCCATGTGTGTAGGTGGGTGTGCAAGCACATCAAAAAACCCATCCGCTCCACCGTCCTCAGCCTTGACTGGCACCCCAACAACGTGCTCCTGGCTGCCGGCTCCTGTGACTTCAAATGCAGGTAAGCTGGACATCCACCTGAGATGGAACCCTAGCCGAGCAATAGTAGGGACTGAAGGATGAAGAACCTCAAGCGCCTCCTCCTAGACCAACTCCTGTGCTACCAGCCAGGCCCCCTGGGGAACCCCGAGGCATCAGACAGGATTTTCACCCCCATGGCCTGCTAGCACCCCAGGATAGAGTCTTAGCAAAACTTGTCCCTTGCTGTCTCTTGAATGTCAGCAGGGTCCCCACAAGTCCTCCTCGCCCTCATACAGCTGTCCTGATTTCTACTAAAGGAGAATGGTGTTTAGTGTAAAATTCCTACTAAGGTACAAATGACTGATAACCTGGTTACTTACGGCCCTATAAACTCTCTTGGTCACTGAACCCAAATTCCTCCCAAATCTCTGAATTCTCACCTGGGAAACTATAGGCCTATAGTTTCCTGATCCAGGGCCCAGAGATTGTAGCTTCCCATGAGGCTTTAGGTTGATAGCTAGGGAGCTGGTCTGTTGGCCCCACCCGTTTTTGTTTTCATGAACTGGTGCCTTGCGGTTATAGCTCAGGCTGTCCTCAAACTTATGGTCTTCTATTAAGGGTGTTAAACAGGTGGATCAAGAAGAGTTTAGTATGTGTGGGAATGGTGTTGTGGGGCCAAGAGGAGGGCAGTATTGGAGCACAGGAGCTGTTGTAGCCACAGTCTAGCCTGGCAGGGACTGGGACACCTCCTAGAGCCATCTGTAGCAGTTATGAACAGTCACCTTTCATGTTAGGGTTCCATGGGTGCTGGGAGGTCACAGGACTCTGAACTAGGCCTCCCAACCTGGCCCCATCTTGGTATATAGAAGGCAGAGGCTCAAGCCTGAATACAGCAGTCCTGCAGAGTCAGGTCTGGGACCCACAGACTTGGGGGAGGATCCCCTTCTCAGGCCCCTTTGTTTTCCCCAACAGGATCTTCTCTGCCTATATCAAGGAGGTAGAGGAGCGGCCAGCCCCGACACCATGGGGCTCTAAGATGCCCTTTGGGGAGCTGATGTTTGAGTCGAGCAGCAGTTGTGGCTGGGTGCATGGCGTCTGCTTCTCGGCCAATGGGAGCCGTGTGGCTTGGGTCAGCCATGACAGCACTGTGTGTCTGGCAGACGCTGACAAGAAGATGGCGTGAGTATGGGAACAGAGGTGGGGAGGACAGTGGTAAATGAAGTCCAGAGCAGGAGTGAAAGGGACAGCATGGCTGACCCATTTCTCTTTCAGTGTTGCAACCCTGGCCTCGGAAACCTTGCCACTCCTGGCCATCACCTTCATCACAGAAAATAGTCTAGTGGCAGCGGTAAGTGGCCTTTGGGGATACAAGGGCAGAGGCCAGTAAGTAGTCCCTTTTCACTCAACCTTCCCTCCCTCCTGCATCTGTATATTATGTATAACCGTCTGGGTTATGCTGTACTAACAAAATTTTCCAGCTCTGTGTGGCATGACAAAAGGGTATAGGGTCTCACTATGTTACCTAAGCTAGCCTTCCCTTTTCCCTCTGAGTTCTCTAGGCTTGCCTTTAGTTCTGTAACCCAAGCCAGCCTCCTGAGTAACTGGGATTGCACGTTCTTGCTGGCACATCTATCCAGTGTGGATGTTGGGGAAAAGGGGGGGGGGTGGCGACTCTGACCCTGAAGACTTCATTTCCAATGCTTCCCCAGCTGTCTTGAGTGTAGAAGAGTCCTAGAATCGTGCCCTAACATCTTTGCTTACAATGACCAGTGCAAATGACAGGGTCATACCTAACTGGAAAGGTATGTGGCCTATGGGATTGCTCTGGGAGTGAAAGCACTTGCTGCCCACTCTGATGACTCCAAGTTCAAGTCCTGGATCCCACATAGTAAAAGGAGAAAACCAACTCTCACAGGTTGTCTTCTGACCTCAACGTGCACCCATACACCAAATTAGAAGCAGGCCCGCGGGAATGAACTAAGAATCACTAAGTGTCCCGAAACCTACTGTCCCTTCTGCCCACTATTAATATGGAGGTTGCCAAGTTTGCTTTCTACCTGGAGGGTCACCCAATGAAAGGGCCCCAGACATGCCTTGCATAGTGGAGGAAGGGCAGCCTTTTTAACTATGCCTACTTGATACATCTGAGGCTGAGGTCCCTCTCTCTGGGTCTTGGTCTATCTTCCAGCTGGGGCATTGGTCTCCTGGTAGCCAGATGCCCTCATGGTCATGTTCCACCTCAAACCTCAGTTTCCCTGTTTTAAAAGTCCCTACCTCAAATGATGCTTCAATAGTACTCCTGTCCGTTCTCAGGGCCACGACTGCTTTCCTGTGCTGTTTACCTATGACAGTGCTGCGGGGACATTGAGCTTTGGTGGTCGGCTGGACGTGCCCAAGCAGAGCTCCCAGCGTGGCCTGACAGCCCGTGAACGCTTCCAGAACCTGGACAAGAAGGCCAGCTCTGAGGGTGGTGCAGCCACGGGCGCTGGCCTAGACTCACTGCACAAGAACAGTGTCAGGTGCTTCTGCAGACACTGGAGAACGCTAGGCTGGGGTGGGAGCCAGAGGGAGGTGGGGCTGGAACAGCACAATGCTGGAGGAGGTACTAGGTAGAAGCAGGCTACACTCACATAGTAGGAACTCTCTTAGCAGCCAGCCTAGCTTTACTTGTGTGCCTGGCAGGACTTGCCTAGGCATGATGGGGCCTCTAGGATGTTGCAGTGACTGGTGGGCTTCCTGGGAGTGGGTCCCTTCCTAGATTCCTTCCAAGTGTGAGAGATCCTCCAAAACCCCAGAGCCACAGGGGTCTACCCTGTAGCATACTAGGTATCAGGGACTCTGCATTCTTTTTACACTCGGGCTTGACCTTGTCTAGGTCTCAAGGTTCTTGTTCTTTGTAGTTTTCATGGGAATAGGTCTGGGCACTTGTGGCCAGCAAGCCAAGCCTCTAAACCCAATATTCCTACAGTCAAATCTCAGTGCTCAGTGGAGGCAAGGCCAAGTGCTCGCAGTTCTGCACCACAGGCATGGATGGTGGCATGAGCATCTGGGATGTGAAGGTAAAGCTGCCCCTGCACCCCTTCCCTCTTTTCTCCTTGGCAGCTGCCCCCGGGCCTGGGACGGGGAATCATTTTCTGACCTATGTGGTTGCATGCCCTTCTGTTGGGATTAGGACTCTGCCCTCTTTTGTGCTGGGGCTGAGATGGGTGTGGGGCGTCTGCAGGACAGTGGAGAACCATCCTGTTCATTCTCTACTTGCAGAGCTTGGAGTCAGCCTTGAAGGACCTGAAGATCAAATGAGCGGTGGAGTGCCACCCTCAACCCAGCTGCTGGGAAAGAAGGAAAGGGGCTGGGGAGGCTAAGGGTTGCTTTGCTGAATGCTTCTAGGGTGCCAGTATGGGGCTGCTCCCCAAGAAGGGAGAAGACAGGTAGGAACTTTCCTACCTATTTAAGGAACATGTTAAAGAAATGCTTTTACCTGTTGCTTAAAAAAAGAAAAAAGCCCCTAAGCATAATGCTGGTCATGAATCGCTTCAGAATATGGGGTAATAAACACACCAACTGTGGACAGGCCTGTGTCTCAAAAAAGCTGTATGGGTGTTGGCTGCTGGAAAAAATACTGGCCTTCTCTCCTAACTGCGCTTCAGGTCAGATTCTAACAAACGTACACATTACTCCGGATCATAATGGAAATCTTTTATAATGTAGGCAGCTGATTTTTGGCAGATGTTCATTGGTTTTTTATACAGTCTCCTATTTCTATTTTAGCCTGAGACCTTTTGTCACATGCTTTGGGTTACCAGCATCTGAGCTGGCAAATTCCATCAAGGATTTCCTAATGGGGAAAAACCATCATTCTGTAAGACATTATTACCCTAACAGCCCCAAGCCATACGAGCTCTTGATTCAACCCGGGTCTCAAGAGTTTGCAAGACAGTCAGATTCTATGCTAAAGGCCATTCATGGTTCTCCTTCAGATGGGCAAAGGGCTCCACCAACCCTCAACCACACTCTGCTAAATAGCTACCACCTTCTTTGGCCCTGAGAGAGACTTCCCCTCTAGAGGCTATTAATCAGACTTAGGCCCAAGGGTGTATGGTAGAGATCGCTAGGAATGGACTCAATGCCATGCCATCATGTTGCTTGATCCTCTGGCAACTGCACCACCCCTATTTGTACCCTGACACACCCATAGACACCCCCCCCACACACACACACACAGAAGCTCCCTGATCTCTGGGGATGCACAAAGGACAATGCCATTCAGGTGAAGCATCCTGCTCAGATGGGGACAGGACATGAGCCTTTCACTGGTCCTGAATGCACAAATAACTCACTGGCTGTGTTACATGTCTGCTGCTTCAATGGCCATAATGCTAAGGATCAAGTTGGTAGCTTAGGCTGTGGTGAGTGCTGGGCATTACCTTTGAGAGATTCCTTCTAGCAGAGGATTAGGAAATCGACAGGCAGGCAGTACCTGGAGGTCCACAGGGGAAGCTCAGCACTTCTCTTGTCTGCTGTAGGTTGAGTACTCACTCTATTCTGATACCGAGATCTAGGCCCTGCACCTTGTTTGGTGGCTGTTTTCCCATGTAGGCATGTGCCCTGAACCCTGCTGGTACCTGTCATGAGCAAAATTAGGGTACAGAGGCCAGAAGACAAATTGTCATACAAGGATTACGATAATGTTGTTTAATCTGCCAAATATACAAGTTGAATTTAAGGAGCGTGTCTTGTCTGGGTGATGCACAGTAACCAGAGGTTTCTTGAAATGATCAATGGGTAGAGTTAAAAATGGCTACTAGCCCTGACCAGGTGAATGGAAAGGGGGCAGAACAGGTCAGAGAGGAGAGGCCTCATTGGACGGAACTGGCCAGGCACAAACCTCGGACCCTTAGGGGCACAGGCTTCCTGACAGCCCCTGAGTGAGCACCCAGACAACAATCTGGGCTGGTTGTCATCAACTCCCACAGCAGCTGCCTGCTGACTCTAATTCTCCCCCCCTCCCCCACGTGCAATCTACTGGACAAATGGAATCTCTTTACCCCACTTCCCAGGCACCCCTTAAAAACAGCAAAAACATTCAAATGGTTATGTATGAAATGCTGTCCTGCATCTTTCTGTCTCAAAGATAGCAGCTTGCCCCTCCCCCCAGACCCCCCCACATCCCCTGAACAATTTCTGTGCCAAGATGAAGAGGAGGCCCCAGGCCGTGGGGGCTCCTGGCCATGAGGGGCTGCTGCAGCGGCGCCAGGGCACAGGGTGGGTGAGACATGGCAGAGGTCCTGGCGGCACGGCCCAGTTCCTCGGCATCTCCTCCCACAGGCCAGCTTACTTATTCAGGGAGAGTGACTGCATTCGTTTTCCTGACAAAGTTGCGTCATCTTTTGCTGAAGGATTGGAAGGGAAGGGTGGGGATTAGAACACAGCAAAAACAACTCCCACATCCCTCTGAATCACAGGGCTTTGGGACCAAGGCCTCAGAAAACATTTTGTGCAAACTGGCTAACAGATAGGAAGAGAGCCAAGAAGGATCCAGGCTGCCACCTGAGGAAGAGGATTTCTGCTAAGGCCGCATGGCCCAGATTCCTGTTACACTTGAGTGGCCGTCACTGCCCTGTCAAAAGCTGCCTGTCCATTCAGGCCCACCAACATATGGTCTGGTGAGAACTTCTGGCATCCCTGGCAGAACCCTGCAATTCTAACCTTCGTGTATGTCTAATGTCTTAAGTCAGCAAAAATACCTAGCTACATGTCAAGTTCTTCCTTGCTTAGAGTTTGGGAAGCCGAATGAGTTAGGATAACTAAGCATAGGAAAGGGATGGATGCCCCAATGAGTTCATAGTTCTAGGTGTCAGTTTCCTAATAATTCAGTAAATAGGAAAGAGAGCTAAGGGCGCTCATAGCCATCCTTGCCTCCTTTCCCATGGAAGGTCTCAAGTAAAGTGTTTCCCTATACTAGACACCCCAAGGCCTGTGAGAACCTAGATAACCTTTAGATGGCCAGGTGAGGAGCGGACACAGGTATGATGCCTGGCATCTTTTTCTTTTATATAGCTCCACCATCTCAAGCCCCTGAAAGGATGGTGGCAACTTCAAAGACCTGAGCTGCCTCTCAAAGGCTGCCTGCTGCTGAAGTCAGTGACTGTTAGATAATGCTCTACTGATCCCAACCCTCATCTACTCCATGATGGTGGGCAAGAGTATCTATTTCCCCCAGAGATCGCATGGCTTTACTGGGTCACATGGTGATCAGGCAGCTGTCATTCCTTAGCCCCTCCCACGTCCTACCTAGAACCAAGCAGGTAACTGCACCCAGAGCCAACAACAGACCTGGACCTACCTTTCCTCTCCTCTTCTTTCTTTCTTGCTGCTTCCTCTCGCTGTTTCCGGATGATTGCCAGCCGGGCAAGATCAGCCTTGGCCTGCTCTGTCTTCCCAGCCAAATGCATCTTCATGTAGCGCTCTTTTGCTTTCTGCTTTTCGATTTCTTCTCTGTTTGTATAAAATGTTGTCATGGGCTAGTTTTCCCACCACAGTTAGCTGGGCTAGACATGGGAGTAAGCACTCAGGTACAAAGGAAAAGGAGGGTACGCTCTGGTTCCAAGTGTCTCTGTGGACACCCCCCAAACAAACAGAGGGAATGGGCCCAGAAGGCAAACCTGTGAGAACCTTGGCACAAGGGACAATGATGATGTCTGAAAACCTGAGTTTAGTGGCCAAAATGAGAACGTGGAACTCAAACGGAGTGCACTGTGTTTCAGACAAGATAATCATAACCAAAAAGGTACAGGGCAGGGAATGCAAGCCACAAATGATGGGAAAGAGACAGAACCTGTCTTCAGGGCAGTCTTACAGTAGCTTACGTGTACCTCCCAAGCAGGTTAACCCCCCTCAGGTGGGGTGTGAGAACAAAAGCAGGATTCTATGGGACAAGGGTGTGGTCAGTAATCAACCGTCTAAATAGAGTGCGAAAGGCCATCAATCTCTGTGGTTCTGACTAGGAGGGCTGTCTAACACAGGAGAACACAGGGCTCCATTTGCACTGGAACCTTGGAGGAGTCAAATAGCAAAGGAGGAAAGAGCCTTGCCTGGCAGGAGCAGCAGAGGGGCTTTCTGGAGGCCTTCCCAGTCCACAAGGCTGGGTAGTAATAGGAAGCAAAGCATGGGGGACTGCTTTAAGGGGATGGATGAGAAACTCAGCCAGCTAGGGCTCGATGGGGAAATACTACACTCAGGAGAATAGACAAGACACCTACTATGGAGGTGTGGAGACAGCACAATTGGGTCAGCAGGTTCACCCTGACAGGGATGTGCCAGACTGAAATGTCTCTTGGCTATTCAGGACTAACCAAGCTGCTTCAAGGTTCTGCAGGGCCCCTACAGTGAAGGCCAGGTACTGGCAGCTGGCTTTCATGATCATCAGTTCTGCATCTCTGTTGGGCAGAGATGCAAGTTTTTGATTTGAGGCCCAAAGAGGAAAGTAACCTATCCATGGCTGCTCGATGAAGTGGCAGAACCCTGGTGGGCACTAGAGCCTTTCTGCTCTGGAAAGAACAGCCCAGCCTGCTGGGTTTCTCTGAGTCAATCACAAAAAGGAAACTAATGGAGGGGTATAGAAACAGAGTCCTCCACAGCCCCAATCACAACCAAACCCCCTCTCTGAGGAGTTTGGAAACATGTTCTTTAGTCATCCTGGGATTTGCACAGGTGGTAGGCTGGAATCCTAGCTGCTTTCAGTCTGTTAAAAGGCCAGAGGTTGTCTCCTCTTGGGAAGTCAATGAGGCTGTAGGTGTGGCTAGAACACAGAGTGCCTACTTTGGGGCCCTAGTGTGTATGCTTAGGTTGCAGGTCCGCGCAGCAGACATTACCGTTCTCTCCTTGAAAGCTCCTTTGGCCCATCCAGATCCAGTTGTGTGACCTTCTTGGTTGTCTGTGCCACCCGGTTGGGGTTTTCAATGTCAATGAGCCCTTCCACACCTTTTCGCTTTTGCTAAGATAGAGCAGGAATATTAGAGGTTAGGTCTTGGGGTGCCTCAGAAGGCCAGCCCACCACCTCCCAAGAGCCCATCAGGATGGGAACAACACTTTAGTGTACCTCAGCAATCTGGAAGGGGCAAGGAAAATGAGTGCATACAATCAAAGCCCAGCCTGTGTCAGGCCCCAGCATCCTGGCAGCTCAGGCTTCAGTAAGTTGCCCAGAGAGCAGAGAGCAGTACTGTTCTATTTCAATCTGTCTCTAGAAGCAGCTTCCCATGCAATTCTAAGCCTGATTTTCCCTATAATGACCACATGCTGGGTTCTAGGGCAGGGTGAGCCATGGTGTTGCAATTCCTGCCCATCTTAGCTTTGAGTAGGAAATATGACACCAGGATGAAGGAGATTTTTGGATCACATGTCTAAGGAGCTAAGCCATCCTATCTGGAGAGGCCCAAGAAACAAGTTTTACAGTAGGTTTGCTTAATCACGAGCTTTATCAAAACTAGTTTTTCTCCTCAAAATGACCAAGAAGAAATTCCAAGTGTCTATATTCAATTTGAATACCTCTTTCTATAACATGCAGCCATC